GAAATCCGCCCTGAGATGCTCAATGTATTAGGCGAACAAGGCATGCGCTGGCTAACACGTGTCTTTCAAATTGCGATGACTGCAGGAAAGACACCAGCGGACTGGAGAACCGGGGTTATTGTACCCGTATTCAAGAAGGGAGACCACAAAGAATGCTCCATATATAGGGGCATAACGTTATTGGGTCTCCCGGGTAAAGTCTACGCAAAGGTGCTGGAAAGGAGATGCCGCGGAATAACTGACTCCAAAATACAAGAAGAGCAGTGTGGCTTCCGGCCCGGTCGAAGCGCCTCTGTCTGTATATTTGCCCTGCGCAAGATGGTCGAGAACTCGTGGGAGTACGACCGTCCCATGTACGAGTGTTTTGTGGTCCTAGAGAAAGCTTATGACCGTATCCCACGCAACAGTCTGCGGACATGGCTTAGAGAATACGTGATAGATGGCCAGCTGCTAAGTGCCATCCAGTCACTTTTTTCTGATAGCAGGTGCCGTATCAGAGTTAATGGCGTTTAGTCGAAACCATTCAATGTTGGATGGTCAACGCTACGTCTTGTTCCCTATCTTGTTTGTGTCGTAGATGGATAGAATGTGAGGAGCTGCCAAGGCGATGAGGGTATCGGTAGTGCTTTCTCTTTCTCTTGCCCGTTGCTCTATTCAGAATAACGGAGAGGTAATGGAGCAGGTGGAGAAGTTCAAGTACCTCGGAACTGTATTCACTAGTGATGGAAAATTGACGGAAGAGATCGACCTGCGAATTGGAGTAGCCAGTGGCGTTCTACGTGAACTGGGCCGACCCATTGGACTAAAGCAGAACTCAGTCTGAAAACAAACTCTCAATATTCAAGTCGATCTTTGTCGCCATACTTACGTACGGTCATGAATCGTGGACTATCAGTAAAAAATTTCGAACCCGGGTACAAGCTGCTGAAATGGGCTTTCTTAGGCATTTGGACATGGTCCGGAATAGTTACATCCGGAAGAGCCTTGGAATGCAGCGTTTGCTTCTCCAGATTGAGAAGTCACAACTGCGATGGCTTAGGCATGTTTTGCGAATGCCTCCAGAAAGGAAGGCTGAGCAGCTATTCCTTACAAATCTGACCGGCAAAAGGCCCAGGGGACAGCCAAAATTAACCTGGCGCAAACATATGGAAGGAGTCTGTTCCAGACTTTATGTATCTTTTGCTGAATCTCAGACTCTGGCACACGATGGGGAATTTTGGAAGCTCTGTGTCACGTTTCTGCCTACGCGACCTTAACGGAGAAGCTGCGAAGGAAGACGAGGAAGATAAGAAATTTCCTCTAAGCATGAGGTTTCAACCCGGACTTCTAACATAAAAATTTAATTAGTACTGAAGTTGTATCTGCAGTGTTTAAACATGAATGAATAAGCGAAGATATTAAAAACTACTGATCGTTGCGCCGCCCCCTCCCATCTACGCTGCATCGATCTATCCGTTGCGTCAGTTTCTTTAATCAGCTGCGGTTAATTTGTAATTAAATTTTTTTATTTAATTTTTGACGCTGATATCATAAATTTTGTGATAAACCTATTCCCTAAGAAAACATATTTATTACGTAATGTATGGTGCGTTATAACGAAAACTCATTATGATCAGCAGGTACATTTACGGTAGACGTTTTACATGAATATCTGCGAATATTTCCGCCTTGACTTTTTGGGTTATGCCATTCAACGGAAAATTACTTAAACCTTTTCCTACCTGTTGTTTGAGATGAATATTTTGTACGTTTCTAGAGCTATATTCTATATGGAATGAGGCGGAATATATTTATAGTTTGCTTAGCACTCTATGGGTTGTTTTGTGTGGTCAATGCGAAAACATGAGATTACGGCCATGCTGGCTGTGCGTGCGTTTTCCTGCTTGATTCTCCTTCGTCTACATGACAGCAGACTGAGAATAAGTGCAAGGTGTTAGCGTATATTTAAAGTCCCTTGTGCCTAAATGCTGGTGTGCGTTCTGAAGTAATCCAACCTTCTTGATTGATCGTGAACCTGTCGTTTTTTTTAATATAAAAACTTTTTGTAAACTAAACGTTTTTCGTAATTTCGTCAATGCCTGTATTTTCTGTATGGTAGCTCTGTACGGGAAATATCTGCTAATATTGCTTTAATTTTGTGGCATTTTTGATTTAATAGGTTTATTATGACGTGAATCGTTTTTAGCTTGTAATGGCGGGAAAGCGAGACGAGCAAGCCTCTAGAGAACGAACAAAACAGCTGAAAAAATTGCTTAAGAATTCCGTAATGAAGCTTTCTGACATTTGCCAACCGGAACAAGTTCCGAAATTGGTACTGCATTTTTGATATTCATTCTTGTGCTTTCTTCGTGTTATTCGCTAACTGTTCGTCAGTCGGAGATGTTGAACTCGCACTCGACAAAGATGCTGGCCTCGAATATTCTCGGACAGCTCACTTTCCTCTTTGTGACATTGATACATGATCGTTATCACGTTGGAAAGGAGGAGAGTCTGAGCGCTGAAGTAATCAGCACGACGAAGGTGTTCGTTCATTCATTTTCGGAGCCCGCTATTTCGAGTTGGTCGTGGCTTCTCCAGAAGGCTCTTAGAATGGTCCCAGTGTGCCTGATTAAGTACAAGCTCAGTGATCGGGATTACAATTGCGACAGTGCCGTGGCCGCTATGTAACAGAGTCACTTAATCTGAGAGCGACCTCTGGGCCGTCTTACATGTGGCTTTGGAAAGAGTGCGCCTTGCAAGTCTTCCACATAACTTTCTCATCATATGTCCAAACCATGCAGCAGCTATCTTTTTGATCTGGAGAAAAGGGCGACCAAAAAGTCGATGGTGTCGAAATTTTGTCGAGTTTAGGCACGCCTCCAATCCTTCAACAGTCACATCGAAGTTTGCAGTTGTCAATTCACTCTTTGCATCAATATTTTAGAGGAAGGCTAGTGGGTAGAAAACCTTGATGACAACTTCGCAACTAGGCAACGCTCGGATGGCCTATCGGTCCTCTTTCCCCGTCTTGTGTGCCAGAAATTGTGAATGCTGATCAGAAATACTGAATTTTATCTAACTGCTCAGTTTGAGTTCCTCTTGCCTGCAGAACATAGTGAGTGGCATTTCTCGAGAGCACCAATGCTTCGGTTTAAGTTTAAGCTGAGTCTTCCGAAAAAGCTTTGAAAGCTGTAGGAAGTCATCGACATCGTGCTGAATTGCAGAAGGGTATCGGCAAGTTTCTATCTTTCTGTTAGAATACTTTCTCCACAGTTTAATTAAAACTCGAATTCTGTTTATTATCATCAGCAGCAGCTACTTTCGATCCATTTCTGGACTTGGAGACTTTGCCATAAACTTCTGTTTTCTAAGATTCTATCAATCTTGATCTAATGACTCTTCATTTAATCCTGCCATTGATCTTAATGTCGTTCTTCGGGCCGTTTGCTTTCTGCTCATTTGCACACATGGGTTAGTGCCAAGAGCACACATTGATTGAGTACTTTCCGATTAATCACAGGTGTAGTTTCCCGGATAAGAACGTTTTCAATTTTCAAAAAGTAAATCATGCTATTTTTATTCTTCCGTTCATATCATATTGTCGTTTCTCAATTGCAGAGATGAGCTGTCCCAGCTAGACGCAGTTTTTTGCTTCTTCAGGATCCATTGTCAAGATGCAAGTCCATTGACTTCAAGAGGTTGGGGGCCGCGTATTTGTTAAGAATTATCTCAGTCTTCATCTGTTTCATTTCCAGTCCTGCTTTGATACTGGC